ACTATTTTCATCCAGACATAGGAACAGAACAAATATAATGAAAGATAACGTTAAAAGCTTATGAAGGATAGGCCTGTAGGAACAGAAAATGTTTAAGATGTCTTTCTGAACTATCGAACACAGACTCTCCAGCTTTAGCACAATGACTTGTATCGATTTGTCTTGACGACTTAATATTTTTTGTAAACACCTGTCAGCTGTATTGGAGAATAGTCCTTAATAAATTAATACTAATCTAGAAAAAAATCGTTTTTAAAAGAAAGTTGGCCATTTTTTTTTCTAATCGTGACACCATTGTTATTGAACACATGTTTTGAGAAGCTTTAGTGCAAAAACTGTGTTCACTATAAAGTTAATTTCTTGTAATAAGTTTTGCAAATAAAAAGTATCTTTGGTTAGCAGTGACGTCGGCCACATGCGTATGCAAAATATCTGTGAGAAGCAGGAAGTGCTGTGAGCAATCTCATTTTCTGCGTGGCGGAGATTTATAGTATTTTATATAATTTATGAAGACAACTTTTGCGAAAATTTAGCCTCAATTGTTGTGAAAAATATTATTTAAGTTAAGACAAATTGATACAAACTGCTGTGCAAAGTATGAATGACATTGATTTACCCGTTACATACAGGGTGATCCCAAAAAAAACTTACAACTTTTTTTCTGAATAACTCGCGCAAAAATTGTTCTAGAATGATGTAATTTAGAAAAGACATAATTCATTCAGAAGGAATTTGTTTGATATAAAATCCACGAAAAAGAAACATGTTTTGAAAACGGAAACGGCTGAAAGAAAAAAGCACCCAAAAACGCAAAGTTCACCAATGTTTAAAAATCTTGTAAAGGAAGTCGTGAAAAGATACGTTTTCCTTTTTCTTTATTTTCTCTTTGATATCAATTTTCCATCTTTGTGACATTAAAAAAATATTTAATTTCTTTTACTGAGTTTTAAAAACCTAATGATTTCATTCTGAAATTTCTAGAAGTAGTGGTCCACATTCCCTCCTTTGGACTCGACACATTTTTAACGCGTCGTTCGAAATGTTCAGTGGCGCCCTAACACAAGGACTTGCTAAACCATGAGTTTTTAAAGCCACATACACTGTACATGTTCACTAAGAAGTGGCTTCTAGAGACAATATAGTGGGGTGCCCAATAGACAGCATTTTTGGAGTTACCATATCCCTCAGGGTGAAAATGGCTTTGCACTAAACCATAATATGCCATTGAGGAAATGATCCCTCTTTACAAGGCAATCGAGGAATCATGAACACATTGCCATGCTCTGCTCCATGTCATCTCTGCCTAGTGAAGATGAACATGGTATAGTCGTAGGTTAAGATCTGCCATGAGAATGCGAATTGTTGATGTGTAGGAAAGTCCATGGGACTCAGCTACTGAAATCTGCACTCTGGTGACGTTTAAAGGACTGCGCATGGTGCGTGTTCGACCAGAAGTGGTCATTTCTTAAAGAACCTTTTAGTCTGATTCGCTATAGATCCAAACTGACGGAACTTCTCTACTCATGACACCAAAGGTCTTGAGGGCACCTAAGCATTCTCTCCATGTCGTGCGCAGAACTTACAAAATGTCAGGGATGGTGAGTTTGTGAAGAGGTAATGTTCAATACAAAAAGCTATCTGCTCTTTACTAAACGTAGCCATGATCTCAGCTGGCAAACAACATTTGGGAAAAATAATATCTGCAGACTTCTGTTGACTTGTTAGACTGCTGTAGCTTGCAATATGGCGCGATTGTTGCAACTTTTAGTGGCAGACCTAATGCGAACTGGTGCGTCATGCTATGAAAGTGACGACACGGTTGAAAATGGGTAATTTTTTTAAATGCGCTATATAGAACAAAACCATTCAATGGACTTATCTAAAATACATATCAGAAAATTTCCTTTTGGTTACAAAACAAGTTGTTAAGTTTTTTTTTGGATCACCCTGTAGATATTCGAGGATAAGTTGCGCCACGAGTTTTTGACCGAACAAAAGGCTTAAGGTCCTTGGTGCTAGGTCAAGTACGCACCGAATCGGTGACACAAGTTTACCTTTACCAAATTTTCAATTATTATGAAGGATGTTATTCATGTGTTCTCACGCCACATTATGATAATCGTTGTCCAATTGTAGGCCCTATTTTGCGATGTAGATTTTATGTAGACCCTAGACATGATTTGCTTTTTTAATTGCAGTTTTTCTAAAAATCCGTTGAATCAGGTGCATTAGATCTAGAAATATGTTCAAGAAATTCCAATTCCTCTTTGATTTTCTTTTCTCAGATCAGACACACACACATACATACACACATAGTTTTCCTCCTCGTTTTTCTTTTCCCAGATCAAAGGTCGAGTCCTTCGTGTGTCGGGCGCTAAGCCTGGGGAGTTAATAGTGAAGGCGAGCGAGGAGAACAAAGTGGACATGATCATCACGGGCACTCGTGGTCTGGGCTCTGTTCGCCGGACTCTGATGGGCAGTGTGAGTGGCTACATCGTGCACCACTCCAAGATACCCGTGCTTGTGGTCAGGGGCGAGTAGAGGGTG